TTAAAATCAATGAATTTTATGCGCATTTATATTATAGTACTGAATCCAGACTTATTAAAAATTATTTACAAAAATTAACATAAATGTAACATAATTTTAATGATAAACTGTTCAAAAAGTTAAAATAACAGGGGGGGAGGTCGCTAGAAAAAAAAATTGGCATGCGGGCGCTGAGTACCCCAGGACCGGCCCTGCCCCTATTGATGGTTAAATTGACTCTTTTCTTGAACGGAATGAACTCTACTGACAAGCAAATTAATTCTCATCTTTAAAAATAAAAAAGTAAGTGAGAGCAAATTAAGTATCGACTTAAAGTGGAAAACAATATATTAATAAAAAATAGTAGAAGTGCAAATTACACCTTACTAATGTGTCAAGACAAAATTCTTCTTAGCAAATGAGAACTTCGCAGTTAGTTAAATAGAATTCTATCAGATGCAATTATCAAAGCATACTAGAGTGGACTTACGAAGTTCAACCAAATTTTAAAAATAATGAAGTATCAATCACAAAAGAGAAGATGCAACTTTACCATCTTGACTCATGAGTGTTTTCACTCTAAAAAGAAAAACAAAATAAGTTGAAGTTTTGCACACTGGTGAATATAAAAATTCGCATAGAAGTGTGTCAATCGTCCCCCGGTCTCACCTAAAAGTGTGTTTTTTATCAGTATGTGTGTACGATCGAAATTACACACATGCACTTATGTAATTCGCACGCGCAGCAAATATTAGAAATATTTTCAAGACGATAGTACACTCGCCCGAAATTTGCGAATTTGGCGATAAAATTTTCAAAATTATAATATAATAGAAAACTCTCTTATCGTAAGATAAAAGGCGTCAGAATTAAATAATATCGCCTATTAGATTCGTTAATTATAAAAGAAAATCCCAATTTGCTCAATTGCACGTTTGTATTCTTTCTGTATTAGATCTTTTGTTGACGCTTCCTCAAAAACGGCTAAACTGATTTTAAAAATTTAAAAGCCATTTGGTGATAAGAACAGAACAATCAGCACAGACATTTCTTCATAATTAGTAGATACAAATCTTTCGTCAACAATTTCGGCAAAAATTCTGAACCGATTTTAAAAATTTAAATAGGCCAAGATCGGTCAAGTCGTTTCTTCATAATTTAATGCTAGTATTAAAGTTCATGGTTTTAACAAATATCCAAAAATATTATATTTCTATGAAAACTGGTACAGTCATAAGTCGTAAAAATTATTTAAAGTTTGAAATAAAGGGCCAAACTCTTTGGCCAAACCCTTAGTTAAATAACAATATTATAATTTTCTTATTATTTATTTATTAAATTTTGTTTTATTGCACATATACAGGAAATTATCTTATCTTATCAAACTAGATAAGAGATCTAGCTTATCCAAAAACATTTTTATTATTAAGTATTAATTAAAATTAGTTTAAATAATTGGTTGATATTTAGAGTAGGGTTTTTCAAATCCAATTTGTTTTTATTCAAAGTCTATTCTTGTAAAAGCTTACTCTGTTATTTTATAATAAGAAAACAAAAAAATGGTGTGCATTTAGGTTATCTACTTAATTTTTTGCTTAAGACAGTTTTAAAATCTATACATCATTACGAATAAATTGTATTTTTTTACATTTTTTGAAAATGTTTGGATTTTTTTTCAAAAATTCATGTAAAAAATAAATACACGTGATATCTTACTAGAGCCTTTATTTAAGATTTGAGTGAGTGTTCCAGAATAAATGAATAAAAATAAACAAATAAATAAAATAAAAAACGATTAGATTCTAAATAAACTGTCGAATTAATGTTTCTACGAGAAAATAAATTTGGAATAAATTATAATTGAATTTTAATTGAATTTATTCAATTCAATATTAATTTAATTTAGTTAATTCACTATTAATTGCGATGCACATTTCCAATACTCTCGTAAAAACATTATTACGACAAATTATATTACGACGATGTTCAATTATATTACGACAAATCGCTTTTGATTTCATTAATTAATTTATTTTAATTTATTTATTTTGGAACACTTTCAATATAAAAGTTACATATTAAAGTTACCTGATGTTACATCGTTCGATATTAATCCAATAAAAACTTGCCAGTAATCCATTATGCAATCCATCACTATTAATAGCATTAATAAATAAATAAATAATTATAATTATTTTAATAGATAAGATAATATAAGATAACACAAATTAGACCACCCTTAATTGTTAAATATTAACTAATTAATTAATCGGTGAGATAAATTAAAACTGCACGAGAGAGAGAATTTTAACATAAATTTGAACACTTTTGGTAATATATTAAATATGTATATACATTTAAATTAAATATTAAATATTTAATTTGATAAAAGTTTTTGCATGAGGATCTTAATTTTTGTATATTTTTTTTCAAATGTATTAAATATTATATTTAGAAATAGATTTTAGTAAAATTTTAATATGTTCAAATTTTTCAGCATCGTTTCAAGAGTGTAAAATTTTAATTAAAACTTGAGCTAATTTTGTTTATTCACAGAATCACAAATTTTACGAAAAAATTAATTTACGAACTAATGAATAACTTTTTTATCAAACACGATATATTATTAATTTTCACTTTTTAATTTATCCAAATAAACTGTCATTACTGAATTTAATATTTAACAACAAAAGTATATGTTATTATAATTTATTTTTAATTTTTATCGCAAAAAAACGTAACATTTAAAGCATGTGCAACGAAGTGCAAAGCCGACGTCGTACTGATTGAGAGAAGTGCATTCGCCGAAATGCATTTGCAAATGTATTTTTGCACACATCAAGTTGTAGTGGGGGTCATGGCATATATAAAATATATATATGACATATAAATGTGTGTTAAAATAATTTCAAAATTTTGATGTAAAGCATGAAACATCTTTATTATTTCCATACGTTTCGACATATAATTTTTTGTCATCTTCAGTGGAATGCAATTTGAAAAGTTCCTAGTTCTATGATTATAATATTAATAATTCACAACAGCACCAATGCACTATTTCTTTTGTTTTTTTTTTTATTTTTTGTTTTTATAGGATTTTTATTACATTTGATATGGCGGCGGCGGCATCCGAGTGGAAAGGGTTAAATCTAAACAATTTTAATTATGTGGCAAAAACATTACAAAATTTATAAACAATATATTTAAATACAGTATAACATTAACAAAAACATAAATGTGGTAGAAAAAAATTTATAAATTAAAACTGAAATATTTATTTTAAGTAAAATTCTTTTATACAACTAAATAGCACGCATTGTTGGGATACCAGAACATATTTTTTGTCATAGAATCTATCACATTAATTGTTGTGTTATTATTAACTAAACATTTTGGAAAAAATAATTTTGAGACTTTATTTATTAATTCAATAATTTCCGGAACATGTATATTGTTTTATGTTGTATTTTGTTTGATATATAGTGTAAATTTACTGGAAATGCACTTTCTGTCAATTCAAAAAAACAATATTAACCTTTTATTAAGTTAACCTTTTTATTTTCTTTTTAAATATCTCATTATTTTATCTTATTCTGTTTATAAATAATATTGTTACATTCTGCATTATATGTAATTTTATCTTAAGCATTTTATGTTAATAACCATATATTGTAATTTTGTATATACTTTAATTGTTATTCATTATGTAAAATAATTGTATCTTCGAGTCCTCTTGGAAGAAATCTGTGGGCTATATATTTAAAATAAATAAATAAATATTATTTTCAGATTATTTTTTTAGGGTAGATAAAGCGTTGCAACTTATTGTCAGTCAGTCTACCTGGCTACTTATCGACCTGTATATAATTCTAGTTTTGATATTCTAGTCGAAACGGCTGGGCCTGCCTTTGCAAAAAACTAATCACCACGTTTTCCGATCATTACGAATCGAATGTTTTTTTAATCATTCATTCGGATGCTCCGTTCTCTCAAAAACTGTAATTTTTGCAGTTTTAGTTTAGGTATTTTCAAAATGGCTGGACCTGTCTCTGCCAAAAACTAATCATCATTTCTCCCAATCATTGCAAATTGAATGTTTTTTGAATCATTCGAATCGGGTGCTCCGCACTCTCAAAACTCGATATCTATGTTCTGCACTCTTTGCTTCGTATCTCCGTAACGGCTAGACCTGCCTTTGCCAAAAACAAATCAGCATGTCTTCCTATCAATAGGAATCGATTGCTTTTTAAATCATTCAAATCGGTTGATCCGTATACGCCCGAAAACATTGACGAAAAATTGTATCCACACATACACAAACATTCATTTATTCTGAGGTATTCCTAAATGTTCAGAAACCTCTGAAACGTAAAGATATACAAAAATATTCAATTTCCTTTTTTTTGGACGATCACTATAACTTACCCTACGGGAAGTTAACTAGAAAAATATTTCGAAATATCATCGAAACTTAAAAAAAATATATATTTTGGTAATTAGTTTAGAAGAAACGGCTGATCTCTGCTAAAAACTAGTAAGCACGATTCCCAAATAATATCTTTTCAGTAGGTTTCAGTTAAAATCGAATCTAATATAATTATTTATAAAAACGTGGACAAAAATTTTTCTTCTTTCTGGCTAATTCGAAAGAAACGGCTAGGACGATAGTTTCCTTAATGATAATCGCTATTCCTCATCGAATTACATCGAATGGATTTTAATTTTTTTTTTAATTTTTAAAATCAGTAGAGACGTTTGTCGACCAAAAATCGTTTTCTAAATTCGGTCCCAAACGATTCAGAACGACTTGAACATTAAATTACCCAATTGAATTTAACTGGAGCAAATAATAACTAAAAACGATCTCACTTGCACCATCTAACGTTCTGCAGCCTAACTACATTTAGCTAAGACACAATTTAGAATGAATCTTAGGAACGTCAAACTGTTAGTTGCGTTGTGTATGAAAAATAATTGTAACATAAAATGAATATATTGTAAATTTTGTATAATTAATAACAATGGAAAGTGCAGAAACAGAATTTAAAAAACCTACACTGATAGGAAAAGTTGGCAAGTTGCCCCGTAAATTAAAACCTGTAGATGAACAAATAAATCGTCCACAACCTCAAAAAATTGTTGAAATTGAACCAGAAGCAAAAGTTGAAGATAAAAATGTTGAAGTGGTTGTAGAACCCAAACAAGTAAATGCAGATCCTCTAAAACCTGTCACAAATTCCTACAAAGAACCCAAATGGTCACAAATTCCTGATGAAACTGATAAATTTCATTTGGAAGTTATAAAATCTGGGGTCATCTTGGAAACCAAAAGTCTAAATCAGAAGGCGTATTGGACTTTTGGACGTTTACCAGACTGTGATTATATTTTAGCACATCCTACAATATCCAGGTACCATGCTGTCTTACAATTTCATCCAACGACTGAAGACAACAGACCCAAAGGCTGGTACATTTATGATCAGAACAGCACGCATGGAACATTTTTAAATAAAACAAGACTCTTGCCTTGTAGGTATGTACATGTTAAACCAGGTTTTATTTTGAAGTTTGGTGCAAGCACCAGGACTTACATTTTAGGTGGTGATGGGGATGATTACACAGAAAATGAAATGACGATAACAGATATGATAAACAAGAAACAAGAGCTGATTCAGAAGCACGAAGAGCTTGTAAAGAAGTCTGAAGAGCAAGGTATCGATTGGGGAATGGGTGAAGATGCTGATGAAAACACGGATCTAACCGAGAACCCGTTTGCTGCTACAAATAACGAAGAGTTGTTCCTGGATGACCCCAAGAAGACTTTGCGTGGTTTCTTTGAACGCGAAGGCTTAGATTTAGTCTACAACGTTGAAGACAAAGGTGCTGCACATTTTACATGCAAAATAGAACTACCGGTTGATAACTCTCATGGGCAACCTATTGTTTGTGAGTACACACATCACGGTAAGAAAAAGGAAGCGGTTGTCCAGTGTGCGTTGGAAGCCTGCAGGATCCTGGATCGTTTAGGAGTACTCCGACAATCCAATCACGAGCCTAGAAAACGCAAAACTAATTCAGACAGCGAGGAAGATGATTTTTTGGACAGGACTGGTGATGTTGAGCGTAAACGATTGAAGAAAACTTTGGACAACAAGCGTACAGCCACACACGAAGAACTGGTAAATGAGGAAAAGGAAATTTTAAAGCAAATCCAGGATCTTCAATCCAAATTATCACGCGATAGCCAAAAATCTGTTACCAAAAGCACTGATGATGCTGATGCTTTGGATAATTTTATGTCCGGGCTGAGGGATTCCAAAATGGACAGTTTGACTAAAAGGAAGACTATGTTTGAGATTAAACAGTTGCAGGAGAATTTAAAACAAGTACAAAAACTGATTAAAATTAGTGCTCCTAATAAATTACCAGAGTTGCAACCGGAAACTGTTTCGGCGCCTCAAAAGGCTGATAAGAAAAGCTTTTTGCCTTTGTTTGGTAAACGACCTGGTTTTAAGAAAAAATTAGAGGCGAGGAAGGTAATTGTGGAACCGTCTTGGAAAATGGACACTGGGGATGATGATGAACCAGAAAATGATGAGGAGAACCAAGATGATCCAGAAAATATTCAGAAAACTGATGGAATCGAAAAGAGCAACTTGGAGGCACCTGAAGACAAAACTAACCAGCATAAGTCTCCTAAAAAACAAATACAAGTCAAACCAAATCCAGAAAGTCTTAGCAATGACCACAATAAAATTCCTGAGACATCCTTAGATGCAATTGAAGATAAAAGTATGGTTAAAGACCAACAGAAATCTCCTAAAAAACACATCCAAGTCACAACAAATCCAGAAGGTCTTAATCATCCCAATAAAATCCAAAAGTTTTCCTCTACTGAAGATAAAAGTATTGATGAACATCCTGGCCAACCACAAAATCTCAATAAAATCCAAAAATCCTCCTCTACTACAACAGAAGACAAAAGTATTGATACTGACCACCCAAAAAATTCCAATAAAATCCAAAAAATCGCCTCTACTACAACTAAAGACAAAAGTATTGATGAACATCCTCCTGGCCACCCAAAAAATCAAAATAAAATACAAAAGATCTCTTTTATTCCAAATTATGATAAAACTATCAACGAGTCTTTCACCAATGATGATAAAAGTATCAATGAGTCTTTTACCAATGATGATAAAAGTATCAATGAGTCTTTTACCAATGATGATAAAAGTATAAATTCAATCAAAAAATCTATTTCTTCTAAAAAGCAAAATAGAAATCGTTTCAGAAATCGCATAAAAGATGAAAGGGCTGATGATAATTCCGAAACAATTGAACAATTAGGCGAAAAGTACAACACTTGGGTGCCACCCAAAAATCAAACTGGAGATGGTCGAACAGAATTGAATGATAAATTTGGTTATTAGTAATAGGATAGAATATTGTATTTTTTTATGATTGGATGTATGTATATATTTGTTTTAATTAAATAGTTTTGTATAAAAGTATTAATTGTTGTTTATAATTACAAATTTCTGCTAGATTTGCTAACATTATGTTCTGAACCTTTTGACTTTTTTGAAATTTCTTATTTAAATTAGGAATAGATACTTAAATATTATTTTTTTACATATTAGAAGTGTAAAGGATAAAATTTAAGCTCCAGATTAATTAATTAAACTAGTGGGGCGCATGGCATCGTGCCTTAAGGCAAATTGCTGGAACTTTCCGTACCAAGAATTATTTTTTTCAAAAAGATTAAGATTTTTGAAAAAAAATTACTCTGAAAAAATTAGATTTTTGAGAAACTACAAATTTTTGACAAAATTTACTTTTTTTGGAAAGAAATAGAATAAATTTTTGAAGAAAAATTTATTTTGAAATATTTTGGAAATTCTGAACTTTTCTTTAAAGCAATCGTACTGCTTTAACTGCATAGAGACACAATATCGAAGCGCGTAAGCGCTGCGTCGCTGTCTAACGAATAAACATTGGTACGGAACCCATAGGTATGCAAACAAAATTTATACTTATTGTTAAAATCTCTATAAAATATCTGATAATTTGATGTGCATGTGTCTAATGGCATTTTTTTTTTACTTTTTTATTAGATCTCCGAAACCGCTAGACCTGCCTTCATCAAAATTTGATCAGTTCTTCATCTTGTCAATACAAGTAAAATGTTTTTTGGCACTTTTTGCCCAGTATCTTCGGAACGGCTAGACCTACCCTCGCCAAAAATTAATCAGCACGTCTCCTTATCAATACGAATCGAATGTTTTTTAAATTATTCAAATTGCTTCATCCGTGTTCCCGAAATCATCGACGAAAATTTATATCCGCACACACACACACACATACATCCATTTTTTCTAAGGTATGTCAAAATGTTCAGAAACCTCTGAAACGTAAAGATATATAAAAATTTTCATTTTCGATTTTTTTGCGATTGCTATAACTTACCCGACGGGAAGTTAATAAAAAAAACAATTTTTCGGGTATATTTTTTTAATTTTTAACTTCTCGTAGGGAAAGTTATAAAAATCGCAAAAAACTCGAAAATAATACTTTTTATACATCTTTACGTTTCAAAGGTTTCTGAACCTTAACTTAAGAAAAATGGATGTACGTGTGTGTGTGTGGATACAAATTTTTAAATTCTAAATGTTGCGACGTATCAAAAAAGGAAGGTCCAAAAATCCTTAAAAAATCGATTACGTGATTAATGAACGCCTCCTAAAATTTTTCGAACAAATTTTTCAAATTTACGAAAAAATCGTATTTTTTTTAAAAATCAGATAAAATAAATACACTAACTAGACCCTTCCTTATCCCACGTAATTTTTTGTATTTTTTTATCAAACCCTCCCTCTACCCCTAAAATTGAATTTTTCTGAACTAGATATTGTAAATAACGTTGTTTACAAATTAGGTGCTGAATTAATAATATTTATTATTAATTATTGTTTGTAATTTGAAAGTTTAGAGATTTTGTGGATATGAATTTTATATATTTGAATTTCCAGATTAATTTGATAAAAACCAAAAACAAAAAATTTAATTTCCGAAGGAAAAGTTTATGTTTTTACCAGAGTTTTGCTAATTTTATGTTTTTTCGACGTTTCAACTCATTCTGAACTGTTTGATACCGAATTTGGAAAAAGTATTTATTTTTAACTCAATATTTAATTTTTATTCAACTTTTTTTACTTTATAACAGTTAGTAAGTTTGTCAAATAATTGTTTATTTTGAAAAAAAAGTTTCTTGTTGGTTATCGAGTTACTTAAGTCGGATATTTTTAGTTTGCTCGTCAGTAGAATCCTTCTATCCATTTATTGTTTTATTTAAGTTTTCTTCTTCCATAAATATTAAGTTCTATTAAATTAATAAATTTTTATCCATTAGTGAGTCCTCTCATATATTTTACAAATTAAATTATGCTACTGTTTTTTTCCTTGAATTTTTAATAATTTTGCTCGTCAGTAGAGTTCTTTTTATTTATTGCAAAGCGAAATATTTTACTGTATCTTTATTCGTCAGTAGAGTCCTTTTATCTATTCTATAATTTACTAGATTCTTCTTTAAGATTATTGGGATCAGTTTGCTCGTCAGTAAAGTCCTTTTAGATATTTTCATCTATGTTTTAGATATTATAAAATGTAATACATTACTATCTATAGTGATTTCTTTGAATTGATTATCAGTAGATTCCTTTTATCTATTTCATATTGTAATACTTTACTATTTTCTGCCTCAAAAAATTGATAATGACTGATTTGTTCGTCAGTAGAGTCCTTTTATTAATTACAAAGTATAATGTTATTTTGAATTATTCCTCAAGATCATTAAGATCAGTTTGTTCGTCAGTAGAGTCCTTTTAATTTATCAGAAATTATTATTTAATTTTGTTCAGAGCATTTGACTCGGCAGTAGAGTCCTTGTTTGAAATAAAAAGTACAATATTTTACTAGTAATTTTCTTTATGTAGTAGTAATGACTATTACAAAGAAAGTCGCCAATAATTATTTTTTTAATTACTAATTACCAATAGGGATTTATGGTATTCATAATTATTATTATATAAAGTAATTTATTATGTCGTCTAGATAACATAGTTTAGTTTAATTTAAAAAAATAATTATGTATGATGATGCATTTGTGCATAGAAAATCCTTGGCCTATAAAGATAACGATGCAATTTATCATACAACGACGGATATGTACTTATTTTTTTACATTATTAATTATGACATAGGCGAATACATTAAATAACTTATTTTAACGAACAAGTTAATAGTTTTATATAAAATATAAGAATAATAAAATATTTTAAAAGAGTTAAGATAAGGTAAAATGAAATTTACTAATGTAAATTACTTTTTTGTTCAGTTTTACGATAAAACCACGGTACCAGATAAAGTAAAAACAATTAAAATTAAAATTAAAGATAGATATTAAAATTTAAGGTTTTTTCTAAAATAAAAGTTACATCAAAATCGGTCCAGCAGTTTTGTAGATTAACCGAAACAACATACAGACAGACAAAATTTAAAAAAAAGTTAAATTTCTGTACTCTATTGATATTCATATAAAATGTCTCAAAAATGGATATGTATAAAGATATTATAAGTATAATTATTGCGTAAAGATAATATTATCTTTTCGGGTTCACGCACCCAAAAGTATTTTGAACCTGAACCGAAATGTAAACAAATTTTGTTTGTTTACACTTTTTACTAGAAGATAACTAGATTCTTATTTAATGACTTTGTTTTTTGGTGAACTTTCCTGATAAAACATAAAACTATCTCTGATATATATATATATATATATATATATATATATATATATATATAAATGTATATATGTTCTAAATAGTTTTCCACCTACATAATAAGTCAGCCAAACAGTGAAAGCAAACAACAGGTCGTGGAAAAAATAGTGAAATAAAATAAATTACTTCTTAATTCGATATTGATAAACTAGGTGTAAGTGGCATTTTGCCTTAAGGCAAATTAAATTTTTTTGAAGAGTGAATTACATAAACTTCACCCTGGCCTAAAACAAGAGAGAAATTAGTAAAAATCCATTGATGTAACAAATAAGAGACTCTACTGACAATGAAGTATGTTTTCGACTTCAGGAAGAAACTAATTAAAAAAATTGCTAAAAAAAAGAAGACTGGTATGGTGAGATAACCAAAGAACAACCTTATTATCAACTAGTCTTCACAAATTAAATTTAATACTGCTCAATTTTTAAACCAGATTAAAAGACTCTACTGACGAGCAAGCTGATCAGCGACTTCAAGAATAAATTAGTCAAATATTGCAATTGTGGCAAAATAGAATTCCACCAATCAGAGAACAAATTAGTCAAATATTGCAATTGTGGCAAAATAGAATTCCACCAATCAGAGAACAAATTAGTCAAATATTGCAATTGTGGCAAAATAGAATTCCACCAATCAGAGAACAAATTAGTCAAAAATTGCAATTGTGGCAAAATAGAATTCCACCAATCAGAGAACAAATTAGTCAAATATTTCAATCGTGGCAAAATAGAATTCCACCAATTAGAGAACAAATTAGTCAAATATTGCAATTGTGGCAAAATAGAATTCCACCAATCAGAGAACAAATTGGGCAAATATTGCAATTGTGGCAAAATAGAATTCCACCAATCAGAGAACAAATTAGTCAAATATTGCAATTGTGGCAAAATAGAATACCACCAATCAGAGAACAAATTGGTCAAAAATTGAAATTGTGGCAAAATAGAATTCCACCAATCAGAGAACAAATTAGTCAAATATTGCAATTGTGGCAAAATAGAATACCACCAATCAGAGAACAAATTGGTCAAAAATTGAAATTGTGGCAAAATAGAATTCCACCAATCAGAGAACAAATTAGTCAAATATTGCAATTGTGGCAAAATAGAATACCACCAATCAGAGAACAAATTAGTCAAATATTTCAATTGTGGCAAAATAGAATTCCACCAATCAGAGAACAAATTAGTCAAAAATTGAAATTGTGGCAAAATAGAATTCCACCAATCAGAGAACAAATTAGTCAAATATTGCAATTGTGGCAAAATAGAATACCACCAATCAGAGAACAAATTGGTCAAAAATTGAAATTGTGGCAAAATAGAATTCCACGAATCAGAGAACAAATTAGTCAAAAATTGCAATTGTGGCAAAATAGAATTCCACCAGAGATCAAAGAAAAAAAGAAAATAAACTGACCACCAAGAGGAAAACATCAGAGAGAATACTAGGAAATACTAGAATACTAAGAAAATGTGATAAAAATTACTCAGACAGTTTACAAAAGGCAAAGTAAAAGAACTGTAAATGTAATAATTTTTCAGAAACTATTTTCTCAAGTGGATCTACAACTGAAAATATTTTCCACCACT